ATTGATTTATAATATTTTTTTTAATTAAACAAATCAAAGAATTTCTTAAAGGGTTTATAGAATATTTCTTTCTGTTTTCAAACGTTTAAGAAGTAACATTTTCATATATTTATTATAATTAAATTATAACAAGTGCTTTACAAGATTGAAAGTGTTGCTTTTTATTACTATTTTATTTATTTGTTTTTATTATTATTTTATTTATTTTTTTTTTATGGACGTCGTACACTTTGTTGCGTTTGCAAGTTACGGGTTACGAGAGACAGATAAGAGCGACGGCGGCGAAGAGCGCTGTGTTTTGATTTTGATAAGCATCTCACAGCATCGCAGATGAGTCTCCTTAGTTTTTTTTTTTTATATTTTTTTTTTTAATATTGTTACCCCCCGATAACGTCACGAGAGAGAAAAAGAGAGAGAGAGAGGGAGACAGGGAGAGATCACATCGCGAGAGGCAAGGCATCCGAAGAGGCAGCCTCCGCTTATAAAAGCGGCGACCAAATGCCAATTGGAACGCATTGTCCAATCGCTCTTGGAGCCGCGTGGAGCTCCTCCAATCAGTGATCTATATCTCGATCCGTGTATTCGAACCGAGTTTTTTTTTATTGTCGTGCAACCAGGATCGTTTCCCGCAGTAATCGTAGGTGCGTATTTAAAAAAAAAAAAAAAGGATCTATAAGATACATGGCATAAGATACAGTATCTATAGGATATATGGGAAGTGTAACCCCGTGCCCAAGGATAAATTACAATGGGCAAGGTGAATCATCATCATCATCATCATCGTCGTCGTCGTCGTTCTTCCTGTTCACATAAAACCTCCTCGGAATCTTGACATTTCCGAGGATACATTCTTTTCTGGGCATTATTCCACATTCGTTATAATTTTGGCGCCCCTTTTGTAATTCGGTATTTCTGAATTTCTGTTTTTGTTTTCATTTCTCTTTTGTATTTATTTGAATTTCTTATTGTTTGCCAACAAAACACAAAAAGAAATACGCATAAATTATTTATGCAAACTAAATGGTCGCGCGCCCGACATGTATTAACATATTCTTTTTTTTTTCCCAAAAAAAATACGGAATAAAAAAACGGAAGGCAGGCAACACCTGTGAAAGATTAATTAAAAAAAATAAAATTTAATATACCGGGATCAAGCCTTTTTTTTTTTGTGAGAGACTGCCCTTTGAAAAATTAGTCTCTTGTTTTTTTTTTCATTTGAAACAATGACTCATTTTACGGTGCCTTAATCTGGCTTTGAACTTAAATTATTCACCAGAAAAATAATATTCTGAACTTTGAGATTTGGCTAGACTCTTTTTATTGGGAAATTGTAGATTAATAAATTTGTGAATTGCCTTTCGAGTGCTAAAAATTCGTATAAAAACCTTATAAATGAGGAAACCTTCTGCCTTTTTTTAGGATTTCTTAGTTCCTTAATTTAATTTTTTGTGATTTTTGTAAGCGCAAAAAGCAGCGTCTTTTTCCTTAAATTCTCATAAAAATATTAATATAAAAATATTAATAAAAATTCTATTGTCCTTTTTCCCAAAGATTCATGAATTTTTTTTTTTTTAAGATTTTCTTCTCAAAATAAAAATATTACAACTTTCTTCCGAAAAAAAATCGTTCTTCTTAGTAAATATATTTTTCTGTATATTTTTATAAACCCATTTAGAAACCTAAAAATCTCCCTAGTTTCATTCTTATTTTCTTAAAATCAAAATATTTCCCTTTTCTTCAAAAAAAAAAAAGGAATTCTTTGAGCAAAAAAGGGTTTCTAATAAGAAAGAGAAAAGGGGTTCTAATAAGAAAAGGGAAAAGGGTTTCTAATAAGAAATGGGAAAAGGGTTTCTAATAAGAAAAGGGAAAAGGGTTTCTAATAAGAAAAGGGAAAAGGCTTTCTAATAAGAAAAAAGACAACATTTTCTAATAAAAAACCAACCTTAAACGTAGTTTTCTAATAAGAAAAACCAACCTTAAAAACCCTCCCCAACTTCTTCTTGGTTATGAAATTCTTCTGAGCAATTCTCCGAAAGCCCAGAAGCACTCATTTTAATCAGTTGATTCATAATGATCGAGAATAGCTTTAGCTTTTGGGCTGCCTGTTGCCGGGTGTCAGTCAGTTCTCGGAGAGGCCTCACTGTGTCGGAGCATCTCCAGCGATCATGAGGGTTAGGCATTAGTCATGTTTATTTGTTTTGAATTATCGGGGGAGGGATAGAGCCCCCCATACGACTTTTGTTTTCGTTTCGCACATTGTTGTTGTTTTGTTTTTTGTTCCAATTGAAAGTGGAAAGCCAATTAATTGAAATGTTTGTGCAAGAAGCGCACTAATGGATGGGGCTGGGGGGGATATTCTACTCAATTGAAGACCAAGATGAGGAAATAAGAAACCGATTCGAACGAGTTTCCAGCGTACGCAGCTTGATTAACATTCAGCGAGCAGACAGTGCATATATAGTACATATTACATATATTGGAGCAGATAAAAATGCATATACAAAGTATGTAAATATGTCTACAGGCTGGTGAATATATATATGGGCCCATCTGTGCTCGTTGTCTGTGTCATTGTTCGTAGATTAAACCATACTATATAAAAAAAATATATATATATATTTATAAAAAATACAAAAAATAATACGCCCCGAATTGAACTCAGCAGCGAGTGCAGCAACCATTAATATCTCTATCTACTCTAGCCGAGACGAGAACCAAAGGGTTCTTTAAGATGCCTTTTTCAGTCAAACTTTAACTTTTATTAAAAGTATAATTCTGATTTAAGAATATTTAACAGACTATCTGCTAAACTTTATACTAAAACCCTTCAAAACATTAAAAAATTTAAAGATTTGAAAAGAAAAACCCTTTCTTCTTGAGTCAAAGTTTGACTTTTATTGAAATTTACCAAATTTTAAGTTTAATTTTAGATAATCCTGTTTTAAAATATTTTTATACAAAATTACAAAATTAAAATAATAAATATGTTTCTTAAAGACTCTTTAAAAATTAAAAAAAAAACTTTAAAATCTTCTACAACCTTTTCCAATTAAAATAGTACATATCTTACTCTTTTTATTTACTTTTTCTCTCCAAATTTTAGTTTATTGTTACGACTGAGTAATTAGCGTGTCAATCATTTAGCATAATTAACAATTATCCGTTTTACAATACCGAATATAATGCCCGATCTATGACAGCCCAAAGAGAGATACATTTCAAAAAATGTCTATCTAATTAATTTAATTGTGGGCGGCCCCAAATAAACAAATATTATTAAGCAAGAGAGAACCGAACAAAGAACACGTTCCGAACTGAATTTTTCTGTGTGGGTCAGAGGTGCGATAATTCGCCAAATGAAGCGACCACAAATTAGCGTCAAGTTAGGAACCATAAAAGCCCCCCTAATCAGTCATTATGCAAGACAAGTCTCTATAGAGAAAGAAAATATAGGAAATTAAAGAGAAAGTCACGTCTTGCAGAGTTCTGAGAAAAGTGCATAACATTGTAGATTGTGGGGTTTAATATTTCAATTAATGAAAGCCAAATTCAGGCTGAGTCAGTGGGTGCAAACACCCACCCTAATTAAGCAATTAGACAGCTGATCGACTTTATGATATAATAATACAAAACGAGCCACTTGGGAAGCGTTAATAGATCAGCTTTCATATATATATATTGTTTTATATTTTTTCAAATTTGTTTCTTTTTTTTGTTTGAGAATTTTTCGAGTCACATGGCCAGCTTACACGATCATTGCTCGCTGCTTTCGATCGAAGTGTATCAGCAGTAATCGCCGCCACAACAATAATCCATATATATACATATATGAATATATATACCCTTATATATAAGCTCAACAACAATGATAATGCGGCTATTAAGTCTCAAGTATGATTCTTTCCGATCACCGATGCCTGTTGCCGTTAATTGTTGGCATCCCCCAAGCTCCCAATACCTTTTTTTTTTCTTTTTTGTCAACCGATCTCTGCCAGTTATACCGTTTCGGTTAACCATCGTTACGCGATCGTTGAACGATTATAATGAACTTGACTCACCAGAGCCAGATCGTTGATCGATTTTGTGCACAGGGGATCAAGGTAGAACAAGGTAGAACATGATCATGATGGGTCAAGGTTTAGGAATGAAATGGAAATTATCTTTACAACTAAGAAAGTAACCTAACCTCTTGGGTTATTTTGAGAAATATATTAAATAGAAAATAATTGTTTTTAGTACTTACTTTGATATTCGTTCTTGGTTGTAATGTGGCTTTTCTTCTCCGTGTTATCACTTAATTGATTTCGCGCATTCCCGTCCGTTCGCGCAGTTTGAATTTCAATTAGCAAGCTCGCGCGCGTTTTGAAAAACACTCGGAATTGAAACATTCCCAGTTGTTCCCCTCGAAGCCTGACCTGATAAGCCGCGTTCCACTGCCACACCGTTCCGGTAAATGCGATTTTCGAGCGGTGTATTTAAGCAGGCGCTCAGATTTGAATGCCGCTCAGATACTTTCGCACCGCCGTTCCCAACCGTAACGCAAAAAGCAAAGCTCTCTCTCGCTCGCTAAAAAAGTAAATAAATAAATAAATACAAAACTACCAGCAAAATAACATAAAACGAAAATAAATATCCCATTTTCGGTAATTTGTCTCGGCTCCTTGTTTTTGTTAAACCGTGTTTTTGAATTGGCTTTAATGTGTTCGCCAGTCTGCAATTGCGATTGCCAAACAAAACTGAGAACTCCGCGGTCGGACAACGCCAAGATCCACTACAAGCAGAAACACAAACAGTCGCTGAGCTGACAAAACTAATTTTAATTTTTTTCAATTACAAAGAAAAATTACAAAAAAAAAATAACGAAAAAACCTCAAACAAAAAACCAAACAAGTGAAAAATACAGGGCCTAAATATATACATATTTTTAAAGTGCATGCAAGCGGGCAGCTTTAAATAAAAGTATACCTTAATATTAAAAATACCTTTCCACAAAAAAAAAATTACAAAAAAAAAGTAAACAAAGCAAAACCGAACAGAAGAAAAAGTTAATTGCCAAACAGAGAAGGTGAGAGAGGGACACAGGTGCAAAACAGAAGCCGAGAACCGAGTGCAATCCACCAGATACACCTGAAAGGTAAACGAAATGCGATACGAAAAAATGGGAAAAATTAGCGTATCCCCGAATTAATTAGCAGACTCTCAAAAACTCTAGAAAGAAAACGGTATATAAAGCAGGCTTCATTTAGAAAATCCAAGGGGGAACCACAGAAATAATTATAACACTTAAAAAAAAAAATTATAAAAATTATAAATTTCACAGAAATGATAAATTATTGCTATACATTTAATTTTAGTAAAGATTTCTAATTTTCAAAATCCATAAATAGTGACTAGAAATGCTTAAAGTCTTACCTACTCGAACTCTGAACTCCACAGAAATAATTATAATACCTAAAATATTTCTAAAAATTATACATAAGTACAGTTTCTTGATTGTAAAATCCATTAATTGTTGCTTAAAAATCCCTAATTTGTTGCTTAAAATGCTTTGAAAAACCTACAATCTCTATTATGGGAACCATTGAGATAATTATAGCCCTTAAAATAATACATTTCCTAAAGGGTAAACCCCACTAAAAGTACCTTTATTTATTACCATAATCTTGTGATTCATTTTTGGAATAACTTGGCACAGTTTTTTTATTTTAATACGTATACCATGTATCATTGAGCTCGAATATGCGGGTATATGTCTACATTTGTTCTGCTAATTGGGTTAATATTGATATTTATTCATTGTTTTATTAAACCTTTTCAAAACAGACCTCCAGGGCCTTGAACTTGAAAAGGAAAATAAAGTCTGGTGAGGTTTTCTTAAGCCTCAAAAGTAAAACAAAACAAAAAAACCCATGAATCACTTTTCGCACTGCTTTGGTAATCGATATGATGAGAAATAATTTTTCCTCTTCATATATTTTTTTCCCCATTTGATGAGTTTCCGATATGATCTCGAGCTCACTTTTATGTGCTAATTAATGTGAGATATGCAAAAGGCGCAAATAATAATGCTAAATCAAAGCTAAAACTAAACCATAAATGCATCCGATGACATTGGGAAGCGTATAAATCGAATATAAATAATGCTGCTGCAGTCTGGAATGCTCCTCCATTCACACGCAGTTTTTCCAGTTGCGCGGCGCTGCTTTAATTGCAATTGGAAAAGACAACTTGTTAAGCAGCGCAAACTGGAAACGAGTGCGTTTTATGGCGCTATCCGTACAGTCCAGCATCCCGTAAATAGAACTTTTCTTTCGGAAAAGCATAAATTATAAAACAAAACACAACTTAGATAGATAGTCACGAGTAACAATAAGTTGTTAATGACTAACTATAGGGTGTTTACACATTTTATGGCCACTTAAATGGCCAATGAATATAAACATTTATCGATTTAATGAGCAATTTAAAGATTACATGTATTGAGTTAAGACTGTAAATTTCATCAGCCTAGAATCTCGATCAATGGGTAACATCGCAGGGGGGGGGAAATGGAAATGGGTTGGAGAGTGGTGGTACCAAGGCCAGGTGAAGGGCTGGACTGGACTGCGGAAGCAGCGTGGGCGTCCAGGGCATAAATCAGCATATATTCATATTAAACATGGCTAATTGTTGGCTATTAACGCTGCAATTTAATATTGATGTCGAGTTGTCGAACTCGATTGCGCAGCGGAATGCCATGGGAATGGAACGAACCTAACCAGGAGTGACGGTGCTGTGAAACATTAAAGAATATCTAGATCTTTCTTAACCAAAAAAAAAAAATATATATATAATATTAAATTGGGATTGATTTTTTTCAGTGCATTCCGTTGCGCTTTTGGTTCCTGTTCTCCTTCAATGCACTTTGCACATGCGTGCATTGCCTGTCATCTGGTCAGTTTCAGTTTCAGGTTCAATGCGAATTGAATTGAAACGAATAATTGTTGTTGCTTTTGCCTAATGAATAAAGTGAAAGATTGCAGCAATAAATCACACATTGGAAATGAGAAATTGCCAGTGAGAGTGATAAAGAAAGACAAGACAAGGCGAGAGAGAGAGATTAAAGGAGTTCCTATTAATACTCTGTTAATTAACAGAGGCTCGCCGGAAGACAAGGAGAGAGAGAGATTAAAGGAGTTCCTATTAATACTCTGTTAATTAACAGAGGCTCACCGGAAGACCTCTCTCTCTCTCACACTCACTCTCTGAGTGCCATTTTTGGACTGGACTTACAGGTTGGGAGGCAGCACGTGACTGGCAATTACTTAAATGGGTATTTATTGAACAAGCTGTAAAACTGATTAGCTTGCTTAATGGTCGAAAAACAGCGCCTTTGGCTAAGTGACCAAACGCTCCGCTTGAGAGCATCTTTGTGCATAAGCTAACAGCGATTATAACAGCGCAGCCTTAACAGCGCGTAACGGCGAAATAATGGGAGAGGGAAAGGTGGAAGAGAGTGCGAAAGCTAGAGGAGAGTGGCAGAAGGAAAAGAGGAAATGAGCACATGGAAGTGGTCATGTTAAGAAAAGAGGGGTCATGCTTATATTTAATGAATAACTTTAATGAGCTAATCGTTATCATTAATAATTAAATCAATCACTGAAAGAATTAAGGAATTAAAAGGAATTTATTAATTTAAAGAGGGTAGGCGCCCCTGCCTAGCCAGTGACATTCAACTATTTGGAACGCATTCAGCTACCCACACACACACACACACAATTATTTATTTATTAATAAAAATAGCGAAGAATGGGAGGGGGTTTTTTTATCACGCCTTGCTTAATTCTCGTGCTGGCGACTATTTCGGGGGCATAATTTTTTATTAATCAATTACGTACTGTTGTTTGTGCCGCCAATTAGATGTCGATGGCAGAGGAGTCTCCATCTCGTTCATTTTTCAGAGTCATTCAGCTCAATTGCGTCCAATTGCTACCATTTAACCCGTTCTCGATATGGTTAACTAATCGATAAACCTTCTTTTTTTTTTTTATTTATTGCAGATCGCTAAGCGAGGCAGAAGACACCACTGTACCCGTTGTCTAAGCAAAGCTTAGAAACACACAAAAAACAAAGGAAAAAAACCCGAAAAACCGAAATTTATCCCATTTCCTTTTTGCTACGCGCACAAGAAGCCAACAAACCCCTGAACTATAGAATGGTAGAAGGTGATTCCGCAAAGGGCAAAAGCGAATGTAAGTGTAGAAGAGAAAATAACGATAACTAAGAAAAACAATTGTTTTTATAAATTATATTGCATAGTTAATTATTTTATTGCATAGTTATCAAGTGATAAAACATACGTAAACTTTTTCGGGTTTTTTGCGCGACGAATATCTGTATTAATTGATCAGAAGGTCACTGAGTACTAAACTACGTGTAACTTAGCCTAGCTAGGGAGAGCGCATTGGAAAGTCCTATGGACTGGAAGTTTGGAGAGGGAAAGGGAGAGCAAGCATACGGGGCCTTGAGAGGCTGGCTCTTGCTAAGAAGGAATAGGAATATAAAGAGAAAAGAGAAATTGAAGATCTCTCTCTACATAAGGGAGGCCGGAAAATATATGTAACTACATACATACATACACACATAGATACTGTGTGGATATTTGACCCGAAAATTGATAGGAAAATTGATAGATTAAAAAAATTTAAGATCGATTTGAATTAGAAAAATCTGAAATAATTTTTTACTGAGTATAATTAAAAAAAAAATTATATAAATATTTATATAAATTATAATTTAAAGAAAAAATTAAAAAATATACCTAACCACATCGTTCTTAATCCCAAAAACCCTTCCTACCTATCCACAGCCTATAATGTAGAAGCTGGACTACAACCAAACTACAATCAGAGCGCAGCAAGCAACCAAGCAACCAACGCCAACGCTGGCCACCATCAACCCGCTGGCCAGACCAACTCGATCGCCTCGAACGCGACACCACCGCATATCGACAACCGTGCGATCATCCAGCCGTATTCCCTGGGCACCGGAGCCAAACAGCCGGAGTATCAGTTTGCGGCGGACAATCGCGGCTACGAGCCGGACAATCATGCCAATGGCAAGCAGCAGGACGTAGAGCGTGCCAATGCCGGCGGTGGAGATGCACCCGATGGACGCCCACCCACGGGTGGGCCCACTAAAGGGCGCAAGAAGTCGACACCGCTGCCGGAGCCAACAACTCCGATAGTTGCCAACTTTGAGCGGGCCATCGAGTTGTGCGGCTATGGCAAGTTCCATTACATTCTGTTGGCCATTTGCGGTCTGGTCAGCACCTCCGAGGAGATGGACGTCATCTCGATGTCGTTCATCTTGCCCTCGGCGGAATGCGATCTGGACCTCAACACGGAAACGAAGGGTTGGCTCAATTCGATCATCTTCATTGGCATGATGGTGGGAGCGTATTTCTGGGGCAGCATTGCGGACAGCTTTGGCCGCAAAAAGGTCCTCATTGTCATCTCGTTCATGAATGCCCTGTGTATTGTCGCCTCGTCCTTTTCGCAGTCCTACACCTTCTTCATGCTGTTCCGGTTTCTCAATGGTGCAGCGTAAGTATTTTTTATAGAATTTGTTTTTCTAATTTAATCTACTAAAAATCGCAAAAAATGATTTAAAATCTATTGAAAATATATACAAAAATATTTTTTTAGAATAATTTTTGATGTAAATTTAAGCTCGACTTTTTTTTTAATGATATTTAAATATTTTTTTTAAAGCCTAAAAAATTTGAGATAAGAAAAAAAAAAACATATTTTTAAATTAGCAAAATATTTTATTTATTCTTAAATTTTTTAGAATATTTTTTGACATGAATTTAAGTAATTTCTAACCTATAGATTTTTCAGTAGTATTTAAGAATATTTTTTTATATATATTAAAAGCTTAAATAATTAGAAATTTTTCTATTAAAGAAGGAGAAACCTCTTTAAAAAACATAATTTTAAATAAGCCAAATATTTTACATTTTTGAAATATTTTAGAACACTTTTTAGTGTAAATTTAAATGTTTTCCAAACCTTAGCATTTTTAATGATATTGAAAAATATTTATTTTTCTATTAAAAAACCCAACAAAATTATACATTTTTCTATAATAAGTTGTAGAAATCACCTTAAAAAACTATTTTTAAATAAGAAAAAATATTTTTAATTATTTTCCCATTAACCAATTTGAGTTTAATAACCATAATTCCCCCCCAATATAAACTCTGACTTGTTGAAGACATCAAATATAGCCTTGTTGCCTTATTGAATGTGCCAAAAATACCGATACGATGAGAATCTACTCTTCATATTCGTGGCTATATATCTTCGAGTGGCCAGTGGCTAGTGTGGATCGAGTGACACACGGGCCCGGGCCCAAAAACGGGGCAAAGTGTTAATTCAATTACCTTCTGTTATAAATAACAACAAAAATATTTGAGCCGCAATATCGTGACTGTTTATGCTAATTAAAGGCTCGAATTCAACAGGCCAGCATGCCAAAATTTACAAAAAATAATACAAAAAAAAATAAAATAACCAAAACACAAAAATGGAAAATCTCTCGGCTCAGGCCTTGGCCCCTCTGGTGATCTGTGGGTTACATGGATAAAGCTTAGTCACTCGGTTTCCCCTCAAACTGGAGTATAGTATATCATTATTATTTTTGCCAATCGTCTGCTAATTAACCCATCGAGTCTGACAACAATTATTTTGCAATATTTTGCAATATATTTTTGCTTTACTGTGGGAACAGTGGCATTACGGAATTTCCCTTGACAGAATTTACTTTAAAATCATTAAAAATTATTTTCTTTGCCTTTTTAAAAGTTAATTGATAGCTTAAAATATTTTTTTTTTTTTATATATTTTATTTTTATAATTATTAATTTATTTATTTTTATATTTGTTTATATATAAAAATATATATTTTTTTTTAAATTTTATATTTTTATATATTTTTATTTTTATATTTCTTTTTTTATATTTATTTATTTTTATATTTCTTTTTATTTTTTTATATTTTTTTATTTATATTTTTTTTTATATACTTATTTTTTTATATTTTTATATATTTTTATTTTTATATTTATTTATTTTTACATTTATTTTTATAAAAAAAAAAAAAAAAAGATTATTTTTAAAACAATTTAAACTAATTCCCCAGATTCTCTGAATCATAATTTTGTCAAACGCTTGTTAATTATTTCGACGAACTTCTAAGAGATTGAATTTTGGGTTTTTTTTTTGTGATTTTTTGAATTTTTTCTGATGTTTATTTTTATTATTAGGCCTGCGTATACGCAATACGTATACGTAATATGTCATTTCTAAGCAAAATATTACGCATACGCCATGTATAACATATAAAGTGAGGGAAAATAATGAAGGAAAATTTTTTTAAATATTCTTAAAATATACATAATAAATAGAATTTAAAATCAATAATCTATAAACTATATATAAACCACTAACCTTTAATGTATTCCTATCTCTTTCTCTCTTCAGTTTGGGCGGCAGTGGTCCTGTGATCTGGTCATACTTTGCCGAGTTCCAGCCGAAGGCCAAGCGCGGCTCCATGCTGAGCTTCATGGCCGCCTTCTGGACATTCGGCAACCTGTTCGTGGCCAGTCTGGCCTGGCTGATCATCCCCACCAGCATTGGCTTCATCACACCGTACTTCACCTATAACTCGTGGCGCATCTTCCTGTTGGTCTGCTCGCTGCCGTCGTTCCTGGTCGGCTTCCTGCTCTTCTATCTGCCCGAATCGCCCAAGTTCCTGTTGACGCGCGGCAAGAAGGATCGTGCTTTGGCCATTTTCCGTGGCATTTTCGTGACAAACACGAAACGTCGGCCCGATGAGTACATGGTCTATGATCTGGAGGTGGACGAGAAGCTGCTGGAGAGCTCGGCGAATGTGAAGAACAAGTATTCACGGATGGTTAGCGGCATGGTGGACCATAGTCGCGCCTTGTTTAGGTCACCCATCCTGCGCTTCACCATTGTCTCGATCACGATCAACTTTACATTCCACATTGGATACTACGGCCTGTTGATGTGGTTCCCGGAGCTCTTCAATCGCTTCGAGGAGTACGAGAAGGCCTTCCCGGGCGAGTCTGCCGGCGTTTGTACGGTCACCGATTATGTGGTGAAGATTGCCAACCAGGAGAGCAGCAATGGTACTTGCTCCTCGGAGATACCACAATCGGTGTTCATGGAATCGCTCATTTCGCTGGCCTCAGCCCTGCCCGCCAATCTGTTGGCCATCCTTGGCATGGATATGCTGGGTAGGAAATTCTTCCTAATTGCCGGCACCATGACCGCTGGCATCTGTTCGGCGCTGATGTACTTTGTGCGCAGCTCCGTTCAGAATCTGGTCGTCTCGGCCATTTTCAGTGGCGCCATTTCGGCGGCAAATGCGGCCCTCGACTGCCTCATCACCGAAGTATTCCCCACCAAGCTCCGGGCCACCGGTGTGGCCATCTCCATGGTCGCCGCACGTCTGGGCGGTATCATTGGCAACATTGTGATTGCCCAGCTGCTGGACAACTATTGTCCCTCGCCGACATTCATTGTGTCGGGCCTGCTCATCGGCGGCGGTCTCATGTGCCTGCTCCTGCCCAACACGACGCGCAAGGAGCTCAATTAAAACGCCCAAACCAATCTAACACCACTAATAACTTATCAACAGTCGCCCCATTCTCGGAAAAAGGATATGATATTGATGTTTAAGGACTCGGCGAATGTGGTTAGAAAGATGTTTTCTATTTTAGATCAATATCTCTAAAATTTACTGATCATATTAGAACCTTTGATCTAAATTTTTGGCTTAATATGAGTTGGTATCTGGTAGATATTTAAGGATATCCTCTAGATACTGATTATTAACTAAATTTTAAGATAATTTTTATGATCTAAATTTGATCTAAATTTTGATCTAATTTTTTGGTTTAATATGAGTTGGTATCCTAGAGATTTTAAAGGATTTTGTCTAGATACTGATCATTAACTGAATTTTAAGATCATTTTTACGATCTAAATTTTGATCTAAATTTTTGGATAAATTTTTAAGATATTTAATTTTTTCTAAAACCACATTTGTTTGATCCTTAATTTTCAAGTTTATATCCTTTTTTTAAATTTTTTTTCTCTCCAAAATCCGCAATAGTAGAACCCTTATTTTTTTTCGTGTAAAAACCCATAAGTAATTTCCAATTTGTTTGACCGCCTCGCCACACAAAGCGGGGTACATCCTGTGTATATATGGTGTGTGTGCTACAATACACGTATTAATTATTTAACGATAGCGATAACGATAAATCTATCTAACTACCGATATCTAATCTATCTATCTTTCGGAATTTAAAAACCAACCAAAACACAAAACCAAAATCGCCACTGGCAGCATTGAAAGTGTCCATCTGAAGGAGCCCCCCCAACAAGTATTCCAGCTAAGTTTTAAACCAAAAAAAATAAACAAAAAACTAGAAAAAAAATATATATATATATTATAAAGAAAAGAAAGAAAAGTCGATAAACGACGTTAGGCGATATATATACCTCAGATGGCGCCTTCCCTCCGCTGGCCAAGCAAAAAATGTTGAAGAAGAAAACCCCAAGCCAGCGAGAAGATATAGCAGGTAGGATCGATTTGCGATCGATGTACGATATGTATTTTGAGTAGTAGCGATAGTGAGTAATATATACTATATATATATATATATTATATATTTTTTGGCAAGCGCCGGCGCCGGCTGAAGCAGCAGCAGAGAAGCGTGGGGCTGGCCAGGATACCAAGATCCCCAAGGGGATTTCCCCGAAAAAGAAAAGTGAGATAGCTGAGCCCCTTACGTTACCCCTCCTGCTGTCCGTTATTGTTGTTATTATGTAAAACACATACACATACGTATATAACTTTATCTAAATATTAAAAAAAAAAAATATTATCTACCAAGAAAACCCATTTTCTATAACATATACATAGTACACACATATAATATATATCTAAACTATGTCTCCATTTTTTTTGTTTTTTTTTTTCGTCGTCATGTAGGACCAAAGCACAGGAAGTGAAAGAATATTTGTAAAATTTAGTTACGTTATTACAAGTTACGCTACATTATATACAAACATACAACAACAACAAAAAAATAAACCTAATAAAAAAAAAATGATCAAACCTCAAAGTGAGTTTGCTTTTTATTACAAGTTTTAAGGGGGGAAGAATACTTCTACAAATTTATTTTAGACTTAATCTAGATCTACTATCATCGCACATCTGTGCAATCCAACACGCGACTTGCCCAATAATGTTTATTTGCTCAACGAATATAAGAAATATTGGGACTAAGTGATAATTAAATAAATACATTTCCCCGAACCCCCAAACACAAAGGTATAGTATTTGTGTTTATTTAGCCAAACTGAAACCAAACAAAAGTGGACGGGACGAGGCAGTGCATGACTCTGTCTGTCTCAAAGAGATTCGCCGACACTTAATAAAAATAGATAATATAAATATGACATATATAAGAGGTTCATGTTCAGTGGAGAAGGTAGATCCATCCACACGTGCAAGTACCACAGTTCATAAATAGATCCATTTTTCCCCAAACGATTTTCAATGTTGATTTGCGTCACATATGTTCTAAATATTAAGCAATTTCCAAATCTCAAATCTATGTGGATATATAAGCTATATAAGCTATATGTTTGCTAATCATAAAATACAAAATTGCGAATCCCGAACATTCAGCGTGTGTCACATAAATCTTTGAGGGAAAATTCTATAACGAATTCTATGGAAATTTCTAAAATGTTAAATAGAACTTTACTGAAAATAAACATTGTTTTTCACATCGTTAGGTCTTTTTTTGTATTAATTAATTTGGCTCTCTTATATTGTTTATTTCAAAAAGTTTTCATTAAATGGATTTTTTAACCTTGTTCGGTTTTTTAATTTCATTCAGAAGCTAAAAACAAGTGAAGGAGTCATTTCCGACCCTACAAATCATATATATTCTTAATCAGCATCAACATCCGAATCGATCTAGCCATCTATGCTTGAAATTAAAATTCTAAAAAATTTTCGCAATTTTTTAGGGGATTAAAATATTAAATAATGTCCAAAAAATTGACCAAAAATTTTATTTTAAAATAAATTTAAATGTTGTATGCAGATTTATTACCTTCAAAAAAACTAGCACAGAACAGCTTTCCGAATTAAAATTAATGCATTTTTGGCTTAGTTATTAAATTTTTAAAATTTAATTTTCTCAAAAATTATTATTATTGAAAAAAATTTAATTTTAATATTTTATAATTTCAGTCAGAAGTTAAAAACACAGTGAAGGAGTCATTTCCGACCCTATAAATCATATATATTCTTGATCAGCATCAACAGGCGATTTGATCTAGCCATGTCCGCTTGAAAACAAAATTTTTAAATAAAAAAAAAAAATTTTAAGGGGTTACATCTTTAAAATTGTCAAAACAAATCGGCAAAAAAAAAATAATTTAAAATAAAATTAAATTTATTATGCAGTTTTGTTAAACAGATCTGCTTTCCGATTAGAAATTAAAGCATTTTTGGCTTAGTTATGGATTTTTAACATTTTAATTTTTCCCCAAAAATTTTCAAAAAAAAAAAAAGGGTAGCAATTTTTCAAAACTTTTTAAGGGTTTAAAAATATCAAAAATTGGCACATAAAAAATAAATAAATAAATAAAAATAAATAAAATAAAATTTAAAACCAATTTAAATTTTATTTACAGGGTATACAAACTTCGGCTACCCCAATTTGGGTTCTTACTTGTATTTAAAAACAATGTTTTACGACGACAGCTGTGAACATACTTTATAATCGATGATCATCTGGAAAATAGGCACTCTCGCTCTCTCTGTGCCCCACAGATATGAGAATATGTAGCATATTTTGCGGAGACAACAAATTATTTAACCAGCTTTTAACCCACAAATAAAAAAACAACAATGGTTCTTTTTTTTCAAATGGAATATTTAATAAAAAATATACATATATATAGAGCATGTTTCATATATATATATATTCTGCTACATTTATGTAATCATATATAATGTTTATGTTTTTTTTTATTGTTTTTTGTTTTTTCTTTCCTTCGTATGACATTTTGGAATGATTATTTCTTTATGCATTAACATCAGTTTCTCTCTAGGTGTGTGTGTGTAGTGTGTGTGTGGTGTGTGGGTGTAAGATTTAATCGCTACATAGGCACGTCAGTTCTATTTGTTTGATGCTGCTTGCAATGGATCCTTACGAGTATATACGCTTTTTTAATATATATATTTTTATTTATTGTTTAAATTATATTATTCTTCTTTGTATTTCATACAAAAAAAAAATTATTATAATTCTATGATTATTGTTTAAAAGCTGCTGCTAATAAATACATTAAAAAAAAATATGTGAAAAAAAAACAAATTACTTTATAAATGTAGTTTTGCGTATTTATGGTTTATGGTTATACATTTATATTTATTTTTATTTATATATATATATATATAGAGTAATGCATATAGAAAATACTTTGCACAGTTCGTTAGCCCGCTTGCGCTTAGTGGTGTGTGTGTAGATGTGTGTTTGGTGTGTGTTTGAGGGTTTTTTTTTGGAGGGAGGGAATCATTTATCGAGTGGATTGATTGGTTTAAAAAGCAGTTACAAAATTATAATTATTATTAACTAAAAAAAAAAGTTATGTTAAGATACTAACTCAACTTTCTTTCTCTTTCTCTCTCTCTCTGTCTATCTCTTTTGCTCTAAGCTTAAAAACCTTAAAATCTATCCAAAAATAAATCGCAGGTCAAATGCAATTCTTTTTGTGTTTCAACAAAAATGGAAAAATACAAATAAAATCAAATATGTGCTAAAAAAAAATTATCTGTAAATAAATACAGTTCTGAGTTCTCCTTGTCTTGTTTTTATTTTCCTTTTGTGGGTTTTTTCTCTCATTTTTCACTAAAAATTGGCTACAATGTATTTTTTTTTCTTATTTTTTGTCTTTCTTTCTACTTAATCTTTTGTTAACACTGATTCTCTGGTCTTGTCTCCACATTAAAATGGGGCTTGGATGGAGCCAAAGCAAGTTGGGAATTATAAGCAAGCTGCATACTTTTACACAATCTTCTCTGTCTTTTCTTACTCTCTTTTCCTTCTCTTTGTTTCCTTTTTTATCCTGCCTAATGTTTTACATTTTCTCTTATGTTTTTCAGCTGTTTTGCTTTGTTTTTTTGTTTAGTTTATAATTGCACTTATGTCGCTAGCTTCCCTCTCTCTCTCTCACCTTGCCTTTCCTAGATGCTGCTTTGTTCTGCTTCCTTGTCTTGTTCTGATTGTTTAACTCAATAATTTAACTAAATTATATTTCAGTACTGAATAATGCCATCAATAAATATGAATGCATAATGTAGGTTTTAAACTAAAATAATATTAAAACCTATGGGCTAATGTTGGGTGGAAGAAGAAGCTACTCAATGTGGGGATAAAGGAAGGGTTCTATGAATGGCTTCTTGGTTTTGGAATGGAAATGTGTGTGTGTGTGTGTGTGTGTGTGTGTGTATGGGATATACATGTGTACATAAATCTAATACAGAAACGTACAATATATATATATCTATCTCATATCGGTTACATAATACAAATAAAAAGGTTGTTGTTTGTTTCTCCTAAACGGCAAATACTATATAAAAAATACAGGTTCAAGTGTTTCGATCCATATATATAATATATATGTATATAACTTTATAAATATAAAAAAAAAAAACTTAAAAAACGCTGTCAACAGCAGAGAATATCAAAAATCAAATCAAAAAGCAATGAAAAAAGACTGTAGATCGAAAAACTTATTTCCTTTCATTACTAAATCTAACTCTTCTACCTCTCTTTCTTTCTCTTTAACTCTTTCTTTCCCTTTCTTTCTCTTTAACTCTTTCTCTTTCCCTCTCTTTCTTTCTCTTTCTTTCCCTTTCTTTCTCTTTCTCTCTATTTCTATATATATATATCTCCTTCTGACGGCTTTCGTTTCTTTCTAGAAATTCCCTCAACCCAAGTTTCTTACGCTGTAAACCTTACCTTCGATCCACTTCAATTCCCTTTTGTAGTGTCTGGATCTAGACGGCTGCTGCTCTTGTTGATTCACCGCGTAAAGGCACTCAGAAAGTGTGGCCCACCCATATCAAACTGCTGCGGCTCGTAGCCATCATCGGTGGCCAAACCAAAGCCACTGCCGGCGGGTACTCCTCCACCTCCTCCACCCGGTATCCCTCCTCCGCCTGACAAACCAGCTGCCGCTGCTGCTGCCGCCGCCGCTGCTGCCGCTGCAGTGGCCACTTTAAGCTGATTTATGGCCAGCATGGGTGGCTTATCGCCCGGCTTCCAGCGCCGATGAATGCCCATCGATTTGAGCTTCTGGCAGACGGACGAAGGCGATATATTGATACCTTTTTCGGCCAAGCGGGCCGATACTTTCCAGTACTGTATGTTGCTATCCTCTTTGATCAGCTCGAGGATTTCGCGCGTGATCTCCTTGTCGCGCAGCTCACGTTCGGCGGCCTTAAGACGGCGTCGCGGATGCAGAACCTTTGCTTGCTGCTGATAGTGATGTGATGTGTCTGCTGCTGCTGCTGCTGCTGCCGGTGAGTGGTGACGCATTTGTTGTTGCTGCTGCTGCTGCTGCTGTTGGAGCAGCAATTCCTGCTGCTGCTGTTGCTGACGCTTCTGCTGTTGCTTGATCATCTCCATTTGCTCGAGTTGCTGACGCTGCAACTCCTGCTGCTGCTGCAATTCCTGTTGGCGTTGCAGCTCCTGCTGGCGCTGCTCAAGCTGCTGCTGTTGCTGTTGTTGTTGTTGTTGTTGCTGGTGGTGATGATGGTGCTGCTGCTGCTGCTCCTTGACCGTCAGTTGCTCTTCGGCATGCCTGCCATCGGCTCGCTTGTTGCGATAGGAGAGCGGAACTCCCTTGAGTATGGCATCGCGCACTTTCCAGGCCGTCATCTGGGATACATTTAGAGCTCGTGCTATCTCCATGGTCGATGAATTTTGGGCCACCAGCAGCTTGGCCATGGCATATTTTTCATCATCGATAAAGACGTTCGGCTTGCGGGGCTTCTTGCCGGTTGGCGTGGTCGTTGCGGACGAGGAGGAGGAGGCAGCAACTTGTGGAGGAGCTGCCGTGTTGCTGCTGGAGCTGCCATTGCTGTGGGCGGGATATCAAATATATATATTATTATATATAGGCAGGAACAAGGTATATATATTATCTTATTGAAAAATATTGTAAATTTTAAAATAACGGAATTTTAAATATATAAAAATATTGCTTTAAAATAGAGCTGTACATAACACACACACACACTCACCTCTCGTTGCTGTTCATGTGGGGCGGCATGGAGCGCAGGGACAGGTTGACGGGCAAAGCGTGCCTTCAAAGAGGAAAATTAAATTTTTAAATTATATAAACAATTTTAAAATTAAATCTACATTTTTAAAAATAAAACTATAATTCTAAAAATAAATCTACAATTTTAAAAATAAATCTACAATTTTTAAAATAAAATCTACAATTTTAAAATTGAAATCTAAAATTTTAAAATTGAAATCTCAAATTTTAAAATGAATTTTAAAAATAAATCTACAATTTAAAAATGAAATTTACAATATTAAAATTAACTTTACAAGTTAAAAAAATAAATCTACTAAATCTACAGTTTTAAAATTGAAATCTAAAATTTTTAAACAAAATCTACAGTTTTAAATATAAAAAAAAAACATGTAAAACTTACATAACGGCGCTCGGATAACGTCTTAGCATGGGCATTCCTCCATTATGGGCCTTTTGCTGCTGATGCTGCATCTGCTCCCGTTCTCTCTCCCTCTCTCGCTCCCTCTCCCTCTCCCGCTGCTGCTGCTGCTGCTGCAACTGCAACTGCTGGGCATTGACAATGTGGGGAAAATGCTGGGATTCGGCCAACAGGCGCTTATAGGCCTCCACTTCCGGTCGCGTGGCCGCATGAACCTGCACCGGAACTGGTAGCGCTGGTGAAATCGAGCCAGGACCCCGCCCATTGGAATGTCGCTCATTGTCGGTGGTGGTGGTGGTGCCAGCACCAGTGGCCCCCTCGAAGGGATCATGATCAATGATGGGATCGGAATCGGGATCATAGCCATTGTGTAGCAAACCGGAAACGGCATCCTCATCGCCCATATAACCGGCAGTCTCCTCGGCTCCAATCTCATCCGCCCCACATTCGTCCATTAAACCAAGTGGGTGGTGGTGATGCTGCTGCTGCTCATCTTCGCTATCCTGTTGCTCCTCCTTGATGAGGCCCAATCCCAGGTGTCCATATGGCAGGCTCAAATGCTGATGCTCTCTTTCGCGCTCTAAATCCTCTTGCTTTTGCTGCTGGTGATGATGAAGATGTTGGTGTTGCTGCTGCAACTGCTGGAGGTGCTGCTGCTGCTGCTGCTGCTGCTGATGTTGATCCTCTTGAGCCGGATCCACCACACGCTCATGCAAACTAACCCCATTGACCAAACTCTTGCGCAGACGCCAGGCAAAGGTGCGCGAAATGTTCAGTTCGTTGGCAATCACCGTTGTGGTGGCCTCGCGCAATATCAGCTGCTTGGCCAAAGCTATCTTCTTGGCATCCAGCTTGATGCGAGTGCGTCCCTTGCGTTTGTTCACCAATCCCAGCCTAAAAAAAGCGAGAGATTTTAATTATTAGGAAGAGATTTTTAAAGACTTTTACTAGTTCTTACTTGCGATTGTTCATCACATGAATTTCAGGAGCTATGGTCTTGCGTGTGGCTGCACCTGCAACTCCTCCTCCTCCACCTGCTGCTGCTACTCCACCTCCTCCCGCTGCCATGCGCTTTGGGAAATTATTAAACTGCACAATATTTTGCTTAAACAGCTGCTGAAGGGGCCTAAAAATTATAAATAAATACAAATAAATTATATTTCACGATGATAATTGAATAAAACTCACATTTTGGCCGCCTTGGAAGGACATCCAGTGCGCTTGTGCCAGCCCAGATGATGGCCCGTGGGAAAGAGAACATGGCAATCCGAGCACTGCATGGGACGACTGTTCCAAAAGAGCAAGAAACATAAATATAAAACCTAGAAATCTTAGTCCCCAACTTACGTTTGATTGCGACGCTTCTTGACGCAACGACCACGACGGATATGCTTCTCCAGGAAGCGCTTGTAAAAGTAGGTCTTGCGGCAATTGCTGCACTCGTACACCGGCCCCGGGGCACCATGTACGCTCTGCATGTGCGCCTTGAGGATCTGCCGCATCTCAAAGATTTGATAACAGTGCGGACACTGGAAACCTGGTCCACCCAATCCCTGGACCACGCCATTCAGGGCCAGGCCATTGCCCTCCGAGGGCGCTGGTTCATCGCCTGGGGTAATCAGCTCAATCTCTGGTATCAAAGGCAGGGACATATCCTCATCATCTTCATCGTCTTGGTGGTGATGCATCTGCTGCTGCTGTTGCTGGTGCTGCTGCTCCTGCTGCTGGTCAAGATCAAGGTCCATATCCTGGCCCGATTGGCCATTGGGAAACTTGTTCATCTGATGCTGCATATACTCCTGCATCAACCGGATTGAGTTAAAGTCGAACGGCGGATCCTTGGAATGCACGCCATGGACGGTAATCTCGCCATCGTCGTCGTCATCGTCGGTGTGGTGCTGGTGATGTTCCAACGGATTCAGCTCATCCATATCATCTGTTTTTGTTACCACCAACTCCACACCATTGCGCTGGCCCTTGACCTCGGCCTCCTCCTCATCCTCTTCCTCTTCTTCGACAGCTTCCAGCTCTTGATCCTGATCCTGTTCCGGATCATCTTCTTCCCCACGACCCTCGTGCTTGAGATGACCATTGATGCCATGACCATGACCATTGGGCAAACGCTTGTGCGAAGCTGCAACTCCGGCGGCGTTATCCTGTTCGTTGTCATTATCCTCCTCCTCCTCCTCGTCATCGTCGTCCGAGGAGGAACTGCTGCTGGTGGAGCTGCTGCCGCTGCCACTGCTGCTTCCGCTGCCGCTGCTGCAGCCACTGCTCTTGGCCTGATCGACGGCCGCAGCGGCGGAGGTAACCTCTAATGGATCACCTCCGCCCTCGATCTTCTGACGCCGGGGCAGCAACTGCTGGCGATAAAAGTGGTCCGCCTCCTCGCATTTCTTCTTCAACTGGCACGCCGAGAGGGTTAGCTGGGCGCAGTCGACGCATATCTGCTGCGGCAGGGTATCATTTTTGCTGATCTGAAAGGGGGTGGGAGATAGGGAGAGAGGGAGAAAATTAAGAATTGAGGCAACATTGTTTAGGTAATAATTTTTTTATTTTCATATTTGGTTTTGTATTTTTTGTTATTTTTTGAAATTGTTTATCTTTGCAGGGTTTTAATTTTTTTTTATATAAAGAAAACAAAAGTAAAAAAAAATATTTTAAAATTCCTATAACTCCTAGAACTGTAAATATTTTTAATATAATATTAAAAATTAAAAAAAAAAATTTTATTCTTTTAAATATGTTCAAATGTTGTGTGGTTATATGTTATTTAATTCATTAAGCTAATTTTAGACGTTTTTCCACAACAATTTTTTGAAAAGTAACCCCTTTTTGCCCGAATTAACCTTAAACCCCCCTTTAAGAATTAAAAGCTAACAAATAACGGTTTTCATGTTCCTAGCGTTGCCAGATCTAATCATTTTAAGGCTCCCATTAGGACATTACCAACACCCGCAATACCGTTACATTAATAAATGACTAGAAACAGGGAGAAAGAAAGACAGAAAGAAAGAGACAACATATGGAATTCCTTGAATTGGCAACATAATCTACTCAAGTGGGAAAATTGCACAAATAAACCAGAAAATTGCAGCATTTCAAACGATTTGAGGAAAAGCACACACTCCACACTCCACCACACATAAGGAGAAAATCAAATTGAAATATGCACATGAATTGGAAACACAAATGCGAATAATGTAAGGAGGGAGTGGGGGCGAATAAGCAGCACACACACAACAGAGTAAAGCACTGCAAACACACTGAGAGAGAGAAAGAGAGAGAGAGAGAGAGCCACCCCATTCACATTCACGTGCTGAGCTCCCCCCTCCGCTTCACCCCTTACCCCTTAATACACCCCCTTACTTCAGGGGCCAACGAACGTCTAAGCCGAAGACAACAACCACAACAACGGGAGTGGGAAGCGGGAAGTGGCAAAGTGGGGGACAAAGAGAGCTTAGAGAGACGGAAGAGTAAAGAAAAGAGAAGAGAGTCATTCAAGACACCGCATAAAGTTGTAAAGTAAAGGAAAAATGTATGGAATTAAGTCAAACATATGAATTATACATACAAAAACGAAATAAAAAAAAAAAAAAACAAATATACCCGGGGAAATATACGCTTCTATTGAAGAAGCAGAAGAAAAGAAGGTGGTGCGGGGGGAGGTTGGGAGGTGGCAAACAACAATCCAAACGGTAAATTATTTTACAAAAGCCAAAGCGAAAAAGCAACGCAAAAGATGGAAATCCAACGAAATGAAATAAAATGAAGAAATAACGAAACATAAAGACAAGACAAGAAGAAATTCCATCGAGTGGCGGCGGCGACTATGGATAAAAATATGAAACGTTCGTTGAAATGAAATGGAAAAAATTGTATACACAATATGAATAAAATAAACTAACCAAAAGCCATACCAAAAAACCAAAACCAAAACCGAACCGAAGCCAAAGCCGCCGAACAAATAAACAGAATAAATGGCCAAAGAGAGGAGTGGAGCTGGGAAGCAAGCAGCGCAACAAGACAAAGCAATGAAAACTGATTCCAAATTACATACATATATGTATCTATATCTATATATCCACATTGTATATACACCAGCGAATGTGTATGAAAATTAATATGAATAATAAATATACGTGTGTTCCCATATGTGTGTGTGTGGTGTGAATAACTTTCATGTTTTTTTTTTTATGTATATATAGTTTTAGTATTCAAGTAAACCACGAAGAAGAACAGTTTGGATGTACACAGCAATCTTGGATTACAAACAGACAGACAGTGGGTGCAAATAGCAGACACACCTCATAAAAATCAAATAGGGAAAAGAAAATAAACAGAAAAAAACAGAAACAGAAGCAGAAGCCCCAAAGCCCAAGTGATCTTCCACTTGAAGGGTTTATAAATCGAAAAGCCGTCTCAAAAAAAAAAAAAACACAAACTTCCTGGCTTTGAATTATTATTTCTTGTGGCTTATAAAATATACAAACAATCAAACATACACATATCTACGCTCTCTGTTGTATGGAATTCAAATTAGGATCCATATAATGTGCAAACAGTTCGAAGAAGAGCTTTTTTTTTTTTTGAATAAAAATCGGAATCAATAGAATGGTATGGTGGGGATAAGGGGAAAGCAAATATCAAAATCAATAAATATACAGTGACCATCGAGCTTGTCCAGAAAAATAAATTTGCTAACTAGGAAGATAAAAACTGACAGGAAATAAAGCCAGTTTAAGAATAAAACTACGTGTTAAATTCTCTTTTTTGTTTAAATAAATTAAGCTTTTTTTTTTATTAAACTTAATTACCACATTTCTTCAACTTAGAATAAAATAATTTATTACAATTTTAAATATTTCGACAAAAACAACTCGGCGAGTGACCACTGTAGCTGTGTGACACTTCCACTAGAGGTCTTGACCTTCGACGTTCTCTCTCACTCTCTTTTTCTCTTAATTTCTTTCCCCCGTCTCCCACTTCCTCTTCATTACCACCTTTCCATTTTCTGTTCCTGATGCTTTGACTACCTAATGTTAGAATCGCTCAACACACCCCCCCCTGGCCCTCCTGCTACTACTCACACCTCATTCTCTTGCTTCTTATAAGCCTCCTCTCTTCTTTCTTAGGTTTTCTTTTGGCTTTTCGCACTCACCTTGACGTTGGCCAGAGTGGTAATCTTCTGCCAGAGCGCATCCTCACCGAAGATGGGAATCATTTGCGCGGTGGTGACGCCATTGTTGTTGCTATTACTGTTGCTATTATTGTTGTTATTGTTGTTGTTGTTGTGGTGGTGGGTGGTAATACAGATGCGACATAATTGTGGACTTCCGCCCGTCGCCTCCTGTTGCTGTTCGCTCTCCATCCTGGGGAGCGCGAACGGGAACTGGAACGGAAACGGGGGGGTAACTGGAACGGAAGCAACAGGAGGAACAGGAACCAGCGATGATAGTGGTGTAACCGTAATAACCGCTAGCCATCAACTGCATGCCGCGTCCTCTCTTCCTTAGCCTCAGCCTCTTAGTCTCTCTTCTGCCGCCTCACCTCTCTGACCGACCGTTCTCCTACCCCCACCCACACAACACTCGCAATCGTGTGGATCAATCAAAGAGAGGGAGTGGAGAGTGGAGAGTGTAGAGTACTAAGCCGGCAACAAGTGGCACGCGAGAGCAAGCTTGGGGGGGGCGTATGCGTAATGCGGTAACAACCGTATTGCAGGAACAACCGGGAATCCGGAGGAACACAGGAACGTTCGCTTGGACCGACGACGGTTGGCAAACTGAAATGAAATGGGAATGAGAGCAGAACAAGAAAACTATTTATTAATAATGGGCATAAACAACGAAAATGTGTGTACAAAATGGGGGGAACAAAAAAAAAAAAAAAAAAAAAACAAGAACAAGCTAAATAACAACAACAACAAAGGAGAAATATATATGATACCGGAGCCGAGAGCTCAAGACGCAAAGAAAACTAAATAAGAGTTAACAAAACAACGACCGAGCAAACTAGAAAATAAATGTGAAAAATAAAAAACAACAACACACACACAGACAACACAATGGCAGCCATACACACACATACACACTCTCCTTGCCACATACAAACACACATATTTATTGTGTGGATTTTAAAAAGCAACAAAAACAACAAAACAATTCTTACTGTCGTTGCCGCATACAAAAGTTATGAACTTGATACACACACACACACACACACACACATACGCTTGCATACAAAAATAAAATTACACAAAAGAAAACAAGTCGAAACTAAAAAATAACATTCACACGCACACAGTTACACGGCTAGATATACAAACATACATACTGTGACAGAGAGAGAGACACGAACAAATAATAATAGCAAAAATCGTAACGAAACGAAATGAAATAAAACTTTATATCTATGCAAGCAAGCAGGCAGGAGAAGGGGGTGGGCGGTGGGCAGAGATACGGGGACAGAAGACAAAGCACACACACACACACACACACATACAAAGTACGACGATAAATTTATATGCTAGCTCTCTTTCGCTCATTTATGGAATGCGACAGGAGGAGGAGGCGGGAGGCGGGAGAGCGCAAAGGGACGGGGGGGAATTGCTGTAATTTAGTTGAGCAATTAAGTTTACTTCGCCATTCGCCATCCGCTGTCGATAAACGCATCTCGATCAATAAATCACAACAAGTCATCGATAAGCCAGTCAGGCTAGCTTTGCTAGGCAAGCTAACTAAAAAGCGAAAAGTCATCGAACTATCGATGTTTCCATTCCATTTAACTCCCCCACCGACCCCCGACCCCACAACACTTTTACAGCAACCTTACCTTTCCTTCTGCCCCCTCTACCCCACCACCACCACCACCACACACCTTCCACGGTTTCATCTTCTTCCAACGGCAACAAGAACAAGGTGAACGAACGGAAATGGGAAAATGCGTGGAACAAAACACAGAGCCGAACACAGAATAGCAAAAAACACACACAGAACACCGAACAAATTCCAAATGCAATTCAAGTTCAGCAATGGAATGCAAAAATTCTCAACCAGTTTCTCAGTGCAAAAAATTATATCCAAAATACAGGGGGGGAGGAGGGAGGTAGGCGGCCTGGGAGGAGATGGAGAATCCTAGGCACATGAGTTTGCAAATTGAAATTCTGTTTTGATCTCTTCCAAGATCTCTCCCTCTCTCCCTGTTGCACATCTCTCTGCCACCGGAGAGAGAGGGAACAAGAACGAGCCGAGCTCGTAGCATAATCACTGAGAGCGGAGGAGAGAGAGCCAAAGGCAACAGCACCTGGAAACTGGAACTGGCATTAAAGACGAAAGCAATTTGCAATACATATTTGTATAACGAAGGCTCTTTCAGCTACAACCCTATATATTCTCCTTCTTTCCACCACACGCCCACTCCTTGCAAAAAACAACAATAGTTTAACTTCTCTGGAAATATTCCTTTCTTATGTGAAGTTTTCAGTTCTTTGAGTCTTGAAATGATCTAGGATCTCCAGAATCTCATAATACAAGGATAGTATTATCAGCCTTAAAATATATTTCCTCGATATTAATTTCAGAAAACTCTTTACCACCACAATGCTTGTGACAATGTCTTGGAATATCCTTTCAATTATAAAATGTATCAATAATTTAACGATCATATTTATTTAAAGGCTTTTATATCTTATATTCTTATATCAAGTAATACTCAAGATCAAAGACCAATGGAAAAATTCAGTTTGTTATAAAGTTTTATAAATTTCGAAACCATCCATTCAAATAATAAAAACCCAAACTGCCTTTTTTATTACACAAAATTTGTATGTGAAACAAAACTCGTTTAAATTCCATAAATAATCTTGAAAAGAAACTTGAATTTTGTGTGAGATACAAATACAGATGTTGTGGTTGGGATTATGGAACTTCGACTCTATGTATATATGAATAGTTTTCATGTCTGTAAGAGGCCCGCATATGGAACTCAAACCATCAATTACCATTTCAAGTCAGAGTCGGGACATTGTTTGGAGTTTTAAAATAAAAATTAAAAAGAAATGGAACCCATATAAAAGGCGCGTGACAATACAATAGTGGTTGGAAACTGCCGCGGTTTAAGATACATACGTTTGTACATGTATGAGGAAATATTTGCCGACTGAGATACAATTTATAACAAACGAAATGCTTATTACCTATGAACGGAGGGAGTTACGAGAAAAGGGTGCGTAAGAGCGGAGGCGGAAAAGCGTCGTCGTCGTTGAAAGAGTCAAGAAGCTCGGCGAATTTTCTGTTTCTGCACAAACTAAACAAAAACTTACATTTCTGCAGAGAGAGAGAGAGAGAAAAGAGCGAGCGAGTCTTGGAGCCCAAGTCGAAGTAGAAGCCGCAGTCGCAGAGCAAGCAACCCACCGACCGACCCAACCGAACCAAACCGAGCCCCAACACCGAACCCGAACGAACCCGAACCCCGAACCCCAAACCCCAACCCGACCGCGAATGAACAAACTATGGAAACGACTCTACAACTATTCAAGAAGTCGACGAGAAAAGCAAATACACACTACTTACACTTACTATACCCTCCCCAACCCCCATTCCCCCCCATCATATATCCGTGCCTAGACATGTGTGCTGGTTTGTTGGTTCACCTCCACTCACACACTTACATTATATGCCCGCCTGAGACTTAAAACTTTGTTATTTCTCTTTTTATGATTATTTTAGCTATTGTACAGTTCCACAGAAAATTTATACACCGCACACAAACTGCGGAGCAACTTACAAGGGGGAGGAATGGGCATGGAGGTGGTACGGTTCGCATACAGACATAGAATTTAATATTTGTGAGCGTATTTGCGGATGGAATGGAATGGAATAGAGCTATATGGGGGGGGAGCTGAAAGAACAAGAACGCGAACGCAAACGCAAAGCGCTAAGAAGAACACGAAGAAGAAGAAGAAGAAGCACATCTACTAGGAGAATTGAAGACTCTGAGCAAGCAGAGCGATGACAAAGTAAACGCTTGTATGCTTGTATGTGTGTGTATGTGTGCGAGTACTAGATAAATTCTTAATGCTGCCGTTGACTTAGAAAGTATTTCAAATAATGAAAGAAGGCTAAAGAAGCTACCACAAGCATGGGTTTTTCTTTGGAGAATTCTTTTTGCTACAAAGATTTACAATTTTTCTTTTAATGAAAATCTCAGCACAGATCAAGAACCCCAAGCAGTGGAGACTCGGGCAAAGCAGTGCACGCCTTCCATGGCCTTGCATAACAAATTGCTCTGTTCATAATTGATTTGCGGGCTCCTCCTGCATGCAAGCAGTAAGGGCAAGAAGAAAGAGAAAAACAAGAGAGATATTTAAAGTGAGAGAAAAGAAAAAAGACAGTGAAAGAGGGGAGATTACACTTGATTATGCAATGCCCCCAAAAAGAATATCATTCTTCGTATCTACAACTCTCACAAACGTACGAACATGCATATGCATGCAGCAAAGCTACAGTGATCGCTGACCAATTAGTAACTTGAAAGATATCAATAAACACAACGAAATTTCAACAATTCCAATCAAAAATAAACAAATAAGTAATATAAATCCACTTTTTCTACCCTTTCCCGGTGCAAGTGGAATTTTGTTGTTGAAAGTCTAAAGACTCAACATAAGCAAATAATGAAATACTGATTACAAATCCCTCCAAGTTTCAGACTGTTTATAAATATTTCCGATCGGACTCACCCAACTGAAGAGGTAGTACTCTTGTTGTTCATAAATCAAAATTGTAAATCAAGATAAGACAAATTAAATAAGATTACCAAAAAAATATTTCAGTCTGTTGATAACTTTTGAAAATAAAAAGTGACTGAAAAGGTTAAATTAATTCAAATTTCAAATCAAGAAAAGGTAGTGAAAACTCTTATCTTCTTAGCCTTCCATAAAGAGTGCATTCTAGGGGAGCCTCTGAAGTGACTTGAATGTACTAAACCAAAACTAGTGAACCTAGGCAGCCTCAAACCAAAAAGTGATCACTTAATCAAATAGCATTCACTTAGCTAGGCCTGACTGTGTGCTGCACATTGTGAGACCTCATACAAAACCTCATAAGCGGGGAGATAGGAGATGGGAGATGGGATCGAGGTGAGGCGAGGTTGGTAATTACAAACTCACGACAATGTGCGACGTGAACAATAATTTTACGTGTACTTGCAATAACAATAGCTCCGGAAGAAGACACACCAATACACACCAACACATACAAAATCTGATTACAGTGGTCGCTGTCTGTGTGAGGAAATGTATACGCACACACATGCGAACATCTGTAAGTTGAACAACACAATATAAAGAAAATAAGAGAAGATTGAAAAGATTGGAATGTGTGTTTGTTTAGTTTGTTTCTTCGCCTCCCCCCATCTGTTTGTGAGATATTAATTTCGATAGTAGCTCGATATCGATAGCTGTAGTTGCGGTATCAGGTTTATCTGATGATGTAAACAATTCGCCCCACACTATATACAATATCATACACACACATATATATGCGAAGAAAACAAAACCCAGATGATAAACGCTGAGGTTTTCGTTTCGCGGAAATAGCCAAATAAATATTGCAATTACAAATTTCCACAGAACTTCCACCAAGAAAACAAAATTAAATTGAAGTGAAAGAAGAGCAGAACGAATTGGAATGGAATGCGTGCACAAAGAAAAGTTCCAACGAAGACGAATTAAACCAGATAATACTAGTTTATATATAATGACATTTTTGGAGAAGATATCTT